GATGATTTCGGGCTTGTTAGAATTGTCTCATTGGTTATTTAATATTAAGTGCATTTATATACTAACTCTAGTAAATTTATACAAAATTTTAATTATCTTGGGAACCTATGATTGGATTTTAACAATTTTGGATTCATTAGAATCGTCTCATTGAGACGAACATTTTGGTAGTAAAATTATTCAAAATAAGTAGTAGATCAAAAGTTATTGGCAATTCCATAAATCAGCCCATATGCTTTTCTCTTTCGTGTTTATAATTAATTCATCTTTTGATAATTAAATCAGATATCTTCGCGGTGGTGTAATATCATCGGAAGAAAGTGAATTCATCGAAAAATTTTCTGGAGAAATCGAAATTCCTAGTACAATTACTCACTGGTTATGGGGTGGTCACGTAACTTCAAATAAACATCCAAGATTCAAACTTAAATTTTTAGATCCCAGAGTTATTGAACAATCTGAACAAAACAAACCAAGTGGGAAAAGTATTGAAGTGGACATTAAAGATGATTATTGCAAGAGAGTCAATGGTATTATTTTTATTTTTTAATTCTATTAGTTATTGATTTATTGATTTATTTTTATTGACTAAATTAATTCGCAGCCAATTTGTTAGGAGAATACGACGAACCAAAAGAGGTATCAAGGACTTTACAAGCTTTAGCATTAGAAGGCTTAGATGACATTAAAGGTTGAATGTCGAAAAAATTCTAAAATGACAATATATTAAATATTATATATATATATATATTTTAATTAAAATGTGAAATAATAAATTTTATTTCGATTCAATGTTGGAAATTTATTAATAGATATCTTATCTCAATACCTACCTTTACTGACCTACCTCATATTAGTAGTTCATTCTATTTTAATTGTCATCTAATTATATGAAACAAAAATGTTTTAGGAATTTTAATTGCAAGTAGATACCCTAATGTGTTAACGCCGGATAACAAAGCCACGCTTTTTTTGAAACTTTTTTTTTTCATGTGAATGCTGGTGCGCCAAAGACGGGAAAAGCATTTTTCTCACTCAAAACTAGAAACTCTTTGGAATACGATAAGTATCCTCTGATTAAACCCTAAGAGATAATGACATGTAAATTAGTATATAAATTTAATCTCAACGATAGAAACACAAAAATATGTAATCATACCTTTTGAATCATTGAGGCCATATACCACATTACTTCAGCCATTTCCACGTCTCTTCCTACATATTTCAGAGCCTGTTGAAATTTGCTCAATGGAACCTTTGATTCTCGAATGTTGATTAAGTATCTATATACATAGATACATAAATAAATATTAAAGCTCAACGTAGACAAGTCAATAATATAATTTAAGAATTGCTTACACTTTCTTGAATAAGACCCTCATCGCAATCTCTCGTGCCAGTTCAACAGTCAGGAACGTATTTTGAGCAACTAATTTTAGTTCAAACTTTGCAAGTGCGTCATCAAACTTTTTGACATTACCATCTCTAATGGCATCAATGAATGGTTTATACAAAGATTCTAACTTAGGGTACCGAGAAAGTACCTCCGGCGATGGTAAAACACCCCGAGTTAGCCAAACAGGGATAAGATAACGAAGTATTAACCTACAGATTGACATTCATAAAAAATTGAGTATAGAAATTGAATATAGTTAATAATGATAATTTTCAAAGCAAAATTTTATAAAAAGTTTGCTTGAAATTACTCCTTATTTTTCAAACTAGATTTAGGACACATTCGAAATGCCGTTACAAACTTTTCTTCAGCCTAATAAGAAAGTATGTATAATATCAGG